CTTTCAACTCTATTTTTCCAAATGGGATTCCCATACTCATCAACTAAGTCTATAAGAAAAATCAAGTTCGTATAATGGTCAAAAACTATTTCCATAATAAATTGTTTACCAAAAAATGTGTGTTATGTATACTCTCTTTTACCACTATCCCTGTTGACACTGTACTGACATGCCTAGCATGAAGTCCAAACATCCCTGCACAATTCAAGGGGTGGTGTAAATGCAGATGTAAATACCAACCATTCTATATTCCAAAATGAAATGAATGTATCTTAGTTTTGTTCACCTCAAGATTATTTTCACTCTCCAAAATTAAGTCTCCTTAGTAGTTTAAACGATAATGTCTGAGTTTCAAGCAAGTCAATACCTGGGAATTACTTAGTTGGGTAGCCATTGTAGATCGATTCCCCAGAACCTCTGCGTCTGCGTCCCATGATCCATTGCTTTTCCTATCAAATTCACCAAAAAAAAAAAAAAGGAATGTACAGCAGGATCTTTCACAGTATGTATTAAAAAAAAGTGCATAAAAGGAGGAAAGCTTCCGCTTTTAGAATGATTTTTGCATTATTAAAGAAAAGAAATCATTCAAAATAATCTGCAGATAATTCAACAGTGTCAAAAACTTCTTCTCGTCTCCCTAATCAACAACCGAATATTGGATTGATTATTATATTTTATGGTATAACGCACAGTCGAAGAGAGATTAAATCCCTCATTTAGTTCAGTCTCAAGAGGTATTGCGTCAAGAATCAAGACTGAAGGAAGTACAAAGCCAATAAGAAAGCCACACAGTGAAAAGACAAACCATAAAACACAAATCCAAAAACTACAGGTTTACCTTGATAGGGAGTGCCACATCTCAAACAGACTCTGCGACCCTCACTGATTTCAAAATCAAAACAAGCTTTGCAATTGGGAAATTGCACTCATGACAGGCCACAAACACCTCGCCATTGGCATCAAACCCCACCCTTTCCCCGCAAGTGTTGCAGAGGGGTAGCCCCAGATTGCATCATCTTTGGCGTTCAAGGACCTCAAAATCGGAGCCTCCCCGCCAGAGTTGTGTCCCCTCTTTTCTCAGTCTCAGTCTCATTTCGAATTGATTTTATACGAAAGGGGATTGAGGGGGGTTCGTTTTCGGAGGTTGGAGGGGTTGATGTCATTGTTTGATTCGCACACCAAGGCACGAAGTGGAGGCAGAGAGGGAAAGATCAGAAGCAAGGTCCGTTTAGGAGATCAGTGAAAAAGATTTTAAAGTTTTGCGGGAAGTGTAAGGAAGGCTTCAGTTGCGCGGGATACTCTCTAACTACAAGACTTTGAAAACGAGTCCACATATGAACACCCGCCATTGGCCAGCAACCAAACATCCGCGAACGATTATTATTTAAAAAAATATAACATGCATACATATATATATATATTAGTATATATCTTGGTTATTACAAAGTTAATACATCAAAATTATAATTAATTTACAACCTTCTGTAGTTTTTGAGAATTTAAAATATTGTGACTAAATATTACCACAATTCTTGCTTTCATCCTTTTCAACTTTTTTAATCTGGATTTAGTTTGTATTTTGTTAGTTTGAGGTGTAATTGATGACTTGCCAAATTCAAAAAAAAAAATTAAACAGATAGAAAGAAGGAAAAAATAACCAGGTTTTAATTAAGAAAATTATTTTAATTAATTTATAAATTAAGAAAAAGAATATATATGTCTCATTAATCATTATTCATGTTGTTCACATATGAATAACATTGAATGGATGAAAATGCTTCAGATTTCTGGGTTTTGAAGTCAAATTATTTTTCAAAAAATTCCCAGATTCAGTGTTTTTGAATAAAAAATGGATACGCTCTTTTCTTAATATTACCTCTGATCTTAATTATAAGACCTCGTTTGTGATCTACAAACGAAGTCTTATAATGACTACAAAACGAGATCTTATAATTAGGATCAGAGGTAGTAGTATATTATAGTATTCATGTATCCCATACTTCAGTTGGTTGTGTTGGAAAGAATTAAAACTGAAAGGACAATATAACCCACTCAAATATAGCAATAGGATGAATTTCAATTTCTGTTGAGCAATATATTGGTAATTACATCACAAAATGTGACCTACGACTGATAATGATACTTGGCCACTCGCTCTCAAGAGATTTCTCTTGTTTGCCCGCGACGCTATCGTATTCTGCTTATGTACCACTTGTACACCAGCAAGAGCATTCAACTGAGGGTGCCCATTTGTTATTTCTGAGTTGCTCTTATGTTTCACAATCACATTTTCTATCAACCTCGGGCTTAAATATTCAAATTTCCAAAGTTTCTATATTACTTTCATCCCCATTGAATCTTCCGCGCTGCCATTCTTGCATAATAAGGAAGACCTTAAAGAAATCAGTGAAATAAGTCCCAATTTCCATGGAAGTTTCAGCCTGAGTCCTTTACTTACTAGAACTGGATGAGTGAAGTTTCTATATTCCCCCGTGAACGAAAACAATGGAGTAAAACCTTAGTTAAGAATATTAACTTTAGTGGTTTCAAACCAAAGTGCCAGACATTGACAGGTTTGTCTGTAATATAGACAAAAGGTGATTGAATTTACAACGTGATATTTCTTCTTTAAATGCACTCAAGATATGTTGCTTACAACCTCATGAACCAGTCGATTTTGTACAAGAAGCAGCGACTCAATGTAGAACAGTGAGCAGAGGATAAATACAGAGTGCAAGTCCAATCACTGATATCTAACTACAGCCACATGAATCAGCAGCTTTTGTACAAACCAGAAATGGTGTATCATGAATATGTACAGACTGAACTTCGGATAACCAATTTTTAGTTGCGGGTGCAGCCTCGCGAACAAGGCTCATTCATCTCCACAAGTCCTGGATTTCATAGAGGCAACACGTAAATTAGTAAGCTTATTACAAAGCTTGTTGGTCAAGCAAAAAGCATGTTTCTCTCAGATTTTATGCAGAGTGAAAAGCTTACCACAAGATCTGCATGATTTACATCCATCCCAGTTTCCATAAGCCTGAGATAAATTTTCCGTCTCATGTAACACATTGCTGCTTCGGCATCAAGCCATAAGTTTTTATACAGCATAGCCTGTGAGTGCAAGTGCTCCTCAGCATCAAGATTTTTGCCAAGATTTCTCCTTATAACCTGAAAAACTTCATTTTCTTTCTCAGGGCCTACATCACTGCTTGATCTTACAGAATATTGTCCTCTCTCAGCAATCACTTTAGAAACATTGCTTCGCAACCCATTATCATTCTGATTATGAAGCTTTGTTGGAATAGCAAAGGTCTCAACATTTGCTTCCTCAATTAAATTTCCCGAATGCTAACGAACACATGCACATATTCAACGAACACATTGGAATACAATTCACCCAAGATATAACTAATAAAATCAATGATAATTAACATCCTCATTTGTGAAATCATTATTGGAGAAGTACGATAACATAAATTTTACAACAGGATAAAATCATAGATATATGCAATCTGACATACCTTGGGAAGCTCTAATGACCTGCCACGGAGATCCAGGCCAGTTGACTGAACGGCTGAAATCATTAGGCCGCTGTAAATTGCACTAAACTCATTCAGGTTATTGATTATGTGCTGGATTGTATCGTGATCATGTTGTTTATGTGAATCTAATGTGTGAACACAAGATTGTAAAAGCAACTCAGAAAGAATAAGCATTCCATTAATCATTTTCTGAACATCAAGTTTTGGAGAATCAATCAAAGACTTGGATACACCTTGAAGTGTTTCAAAAAGCTTAGTAACAAGACCAGCTTCAGATGATGATGAACTTGAAGTTGGAGAATGATACTTGAGAGGGAGAAAACCTCTTAGTGACCCCATGGTCATATCATCTTTAGTTTCCTTTGAACAGCCTTCAACATTGCCAGCAGCAACTTTAGTTTCCTTAGAAACAGGCTGAGTCATGCAAGTAGAATTTAGTACAAAGCTACCTTTCGGATCACTGACAAGGTTAAATGCCTTCACACTTTCATTCAAGTTATTGGAATGCAGAAGCTCAACTCCCTTCAATCCTACAGGATGTGCATCTGCCATCACAGTCTTCGTTTGTTTGTTCTCTGCTGGCAAGAAGTGAACAGCTAAAGGCGCGCTGGATTTGGAAGATAAAAGATCATCTTCAGCCATTTTACCACCAAGACGACTGCTTCCTTCAGCATTTCCAGGAAAGAACTGAGGTGCCAAAGGATTCAGAGTATTAGATTTTTTGAGCTCCTTCTCAAAATCATGTGTTTGTACCGATCCTAAAATTTCTGAAGAAGATTGAGAAGTCATCTTTCCCTTCCAACAAGGAGAATCCAAATCAGAATCACTATCGCCTAAACTTTTGGAAGTTTGAATGGAAACACCACCACTGGATTCATCAGACTTCAACATGACCTGATTTGTGGTAATTGTTGAGTGACCTCTAGCATCAAAAGAGACAGATTTGAAAATCTTCTTAGGCTTCTCTGTATCACCATCATCAGTTCCTTTGCCTTCAGCATTAAATACGGTAAAGGAGTCCTTCGAACCAGATAAAATAGAACTAGAACAGTCCTTATCATCAACAGTTCCCCAACTACCTGTCAAGAGATCCATATTCTTTGATGAATCAGAAGGCAAAAGAATCGAGCAATGACTTGATGGTCCATGTATTTCTGCACGAAGACTTCCTGTCGAGTCAGAAGCAATGTTGCTTGTAGAAGATGAAATTTCTGAGAAGTATCGCCCATCTGGAATTCCACTTGAAATAGAGGCACTGCGTGTCACCCCAGATGGCTTGTGACAGCCTTGACAGTGAGAAACATTATTCACCTCTGCAGAAGAGGACATATCTGATGTTGAAAATATGAACGGATGATCATCACTATTTGATCTCAGAACAGAACTTGGTTTGGCACCACCTTGCATTTTGCCTGGAGATTTGGAAAAAATTTCTTTAACCAAAATTGAGTCATTGCCTTTACTGAAAATACCATCACAAGCTTCTTGACAGAGATTCAAACCACCAACAGCATGCATACTTGAACATAATCATTCCATGTTCTCTCATCGACTAATGTGTCATGCATGGTAGTCAAAATTTGTTCTAAAATTCAAAACTTAACATCAATTGCAAACTAGCCAAAATGCTAAATCATACACAAGCAGAGAGCAGAGGCCAATCATTGATAATAACGGACTTTTAATGCCCTTGGCAGCAGAAACAACTTAAGTGTCTCTCTCGATCTAGTGAATAACCGGTGACAATGGATGGAATGGGACATTGGAAACAGCAAAGACAGGGATCTAACGAAGAGCCTAAACCAAGCCTACCAGAAGTTATAGTTGTACATTTCTTCATTTCATTTGTAGCAGGTTACCACAACAAAAGACATCCATGACCCTAGTTGGCTTTCCAAATAGTTTCAAGAAGCTAAGCATAAAAGCAAGCGTGCGCCTTTATTTTGAAGTCAATGATGCCCATGAGAGAATAGGGTCAGACAGACCAAAAAAGTTTAGAAGGCACATGAAGAGAGAATCATTAACTTGTCTAGAGGCTGAACGCTCAAACGAATATTATATTCTTGAGTTCAGCTTTTACAGAGCTAATTCTAACTTACTTAAAAGAAAATTTCACAACTTGATAAATTTTGGAGAGAGAAGCATAATAAAAATAAATGAAAGAATCGAAAATAATTGTGACAATAAATATTTTTTTAAAAAATAAAAAGCATAAATAATCTGCTGTACAAGAGTGATAGAAAATTGTCCAAAAATGTGTAAAGAGAAAAACATAGAGGCAAAAGTCCAAGGGAAATTTTTTCTTCTAATGGAAATGAAAATGACAACAAGAGGAGGGAAAGCAATAAAATTGAATCAAATATAGTTCTGACAAAAATAATAACGGGAGAAACTTTGTAGGCCAGAACAATGACCTTTTCGACTGATGCTCCCATTAGGAGTTGAACCGTCATCATCCTTTCCAATGCCAAACAAGCTCTCATAAGAATCCTTTCCTTGATTCCCATGATTGATTTCGTACCCAGTACAAGTGCCAGAGCCTAAACCAGTAATGTTTGAACAGTACACGGGTAAGGGTAATTGAAGCTCCTTCGGCATATCAAGGTCCCACTCATTAAGATCAACAAAGTCATCATTTCCTTGAAAATCCATCGAAGGATGCGGCAAAAGGGACTCTTCGTCAGCTTGAGTCTGAGAAACAGGCTCAATAGGAAAAGCTGCAGAAACTGCCTCATGACCAAACCCAGAGTCACCCAGAGGGGAAGAAAATACCGGGTTACCCTTAGCAGCTAAGTTGAATTTAGGAAACGAATCAAGCAAAGAACCAAAGGGATCGGAGCTACCGTGATCGGGCGAATACAGAGCATGTTCCTGGCCGGAATGAACAGGGAATTTCAAAGTGGATTGTTGGGTGCTGCGGTTGAGCGTAAAGGGTTTGGCAGATGCAGACAAACGGGTCGAAGATGATAATGAAGCTCCTGTTTTGCTATGATTCATCGTTGATACCTTGGGCCTCAGAATTTGGAAGCGAGAACAATGCTCGGTGACCCAAAATGTAGAAACTTGAAGCAATGGAGGGAGACAATAACAAGGTGGAATAGGTACAAGATAAGCTATGCGGGAACAACGATGGGGCACGATGCCTGTTGGCTGTTGCTCTTCTTCGACCTTGACTTTGATGAACTCTAACTTGCTCGCTAAGTACTTCTTTTTAAATGTCAGTCTGGCTTTCCCAGGAAAGACGACGGGAGGAAGGGAAATGGAAAGATTTTGATTTAATTCGATAGGAACAAGCCTTTTTCTGTTGCGCGTGAGTTTTTTAAGGCCAGATATAATTATAGAAAAATCTTAATAAAAGATTACTATTACCTCAGGCACTTATGGTTTTTTTTAAAAAAATTAAACTACGATTGTAAAAGTGTCTTTATAATATATAAAATAAATGTATAAAAGAAATTATATCTCAACTTGTGTAAAAGTATTTTTTTTAAAGTACTTTATGAGGTTTTCGGAACATCCCTTTAATATAAAAAATATTAAGAACTAATTGATTAATTTGAGTCGATTAAAGAAATTAGTTATTCTTCTGATGCTATTTGAAAAATAGAGAGAATTTTTTGAAAAAATTAATTTTTTAGTCCTTTAACTTTTAACTCACTTATAACTCATTCCCTCAAATATGACTCAATATAACTCAATTCCTATATTTTTTACTTGATTAAAACCCAGTCTCTTATCTTTTTATTATTTATAATTTTGTCCTTTTCTATGAATAACTCATTGTTACTTCATCTTACATGGCACCATTGCCATCCACGTCGTCATCATCATATCAAAGCGCGTCCAAGCCTTAAAACAGAGTGTTGCGAGTTCGGCGTTTTTTTCACTCAATGACCATGCTTGCTTCTTGGTGCTAGGCATTGCTTCTCTATTCTTCTCTTGCAGCTTGATCACAAGCAGGGCTTACTGCTCTATTACTGGTCATACGCTCCATATGTTCTTTTCTTCTTCTTTTTTTCCCTTTGAAAGATTTATGTATTCTCACGAGTGGTGACCCATTAAAATGGTGAACACCAATACTTCAATACAGAAACAAAAAGTTTGAAGAAACGCTAAAGAATGAAACAAATCAAGACAATCATCTGAATATGTTTCAGCAATTAATAATGTATTACCGAGTTTATCATCAAAGGGAGAATTTCAGTTAAATTTCAAGGTAGTAATTTAATAACAGTGAGGTCTCAAGACAATCTTCAGTTGCAAGATTGTGGAGGAGGAGTTGCAATATTTTGGCACCTAAGTATTTTTAACTTGGATTTTAGGATCTAATTGCAATTCTCCCAGTTAAAGAAAACCAGAAAACGGAGGAAGAGATCATCTGAAGCTGCAATGGTCAAGTCTACTACAAAAAAAGGCCTCAATTTTCATGATAGTTATTATGGAGACAAATTTTAAATTCCTCACGTACTCCCCTGATCTTATATACAAAGTTAAAATGGCATGGAGAACATATAACCAAGAAATTGAGTATATACGGTCGAAGTGATGAGCAAGAACACCTAGTACGTTGGTGAAGCTGATAGATGACGATGATTCAAACTGAGCTACCTTCTTAAGTTGTTCTTCTAGTTTTGTATTTGCTGCTCTTCGCAATTTTAACGATCTTTTAGCTATCATATGAGTAGATAATGAACACAAACACGTGACACAAGTGAGGATATGGTGCCTATGGTCTAAGACAGAAACAAAGCAAGCCAAGCTCTGCAAAAAGAGAATAGAGAACTAAGAATGCTTAAGACTAAGAAGCAAGAAAGATTCAAGAAACGCCAAACTCGTAATGCTCTGTTTTGAGACTCGGAAGGTGCTCTGATGATGATGAGGACGGCCATGGTGCCATGTAAGATGACATTAGTAAATTTTTTTGCCATGTAAGACAATGTATCAATGAGTCAGCATGAGCTATTGATGGCAAAAGACAAAATTATAAATGATAAAAGGACGAGGGACTGAGTTTTAATCAAATCAAAAGTATAGGGATTGAGTTACATCGAGTCAAAAGTATAGAGATTGAGTTGTATTGAGTCATACTTGAGAGACTGAGTTATAAATGAGTTAAAAGTTGAAGGATTAAAAGATTAATTTTCCTAAAGTTTTTCTTGATCATATTTATATGTCACTTCATTAAATTTTTAGTATAAACGTATTATTTTGTCGTTCATTTATTATACTGTAAATAATTATTTTTTAAATATGTTAAATAGGAATAAAATTGAAAATTTGTTATATTTTAATAGATAGTTAATGTAATTTAAAGTTTTTCTTAAATTATGTGAAATATATTGAAAATGCCTTATAAATAAAACCAAAAAAGTAAGTTAGTTATTTATAATAAACGGTTGTTATGTTTTTTAAAATACTTTTACTAATCATTTATATTAACTAGAGTCTTACATTTAGAATTAAAATTAAATGTTAAACGAGCTTGTATATTAAGTATTGAAAGTAATATTTGTTTTAGATGTTCCTGGATAATTCGATTTTGGTGGAGAAAATAGAAATTTTTTTGTGAACAGTATGGAGCTCAAAGGCCCAATTTTACTAAACCTTCTCCCACATCTATCTCAAGACCATAATTTACAAGGCAATAAGCAAAAGCATTACCTTCCTTATACACATACTGTATCCTAAAATTTACAAATCTCTGTTTTTATATAGAACCATCAGTTTTTATTTAGAAGTTATATAGTTCATTTTATCATTTGTGGAATAATTTTCAGAACGTTCATTACTTACTTTCTACCCCTTTTGGCCTTGACTTACTTATACTCTTTGATAGTGTAATTAATGTATTAATTATATGTGCAGATAAGTAACTATTGAGCATGCATATAATTCATGGGTACTAATATGACATCGTCACGTCATTATTGAGGAAAGCGACAGAGCTGTGGAATTCCGACATTAGAAAACACTGGATTTCACAAAAGTTAGATTAGATTCATTTATTATTTATAAGCCTCAAATCATCAGACTTAATTTAAAATTCCCAAAAAATAAATAATAAAATTAATTTTTTATACAAAAAAATCGGCTATCAAGTGAAATATATTATTTACAAAAAATTATATTAAACCAGAATGATAATTCAATCAGAACCTTATAATCCAATGAAATCAAACCATCCCAATAAGTTTTTTCAGTTGTGAGTACGAAACATCATAAAAAAAAAAAACTCTTCTGTTCCTTAATATAAGACTCATTTAACTAATTTAATTAGATTAAAAAAGTTAGATAAGTTAGTTAATTATAAGAAATGTGATACGTTTTTCCTAAAATATTATAATCATCTTTCTTAATACTCCTCTTCCTCTTCTACTTGATTATGATTAAAGGAGTATCTATAGAAGTAATTTAAAAAAATTGATAAATATGAAAAATAAATCTTATATTTAGAATCAAAACCAACTTAATAATTAGATTTTATATTAAATACCGAAAGAGTACAACCCATAGATGAGTCATGGGGGAAAAAATGTCATGCGTTAGCCGTCACTCCAGTCTCCATGGTTTCTGCGTTCATGTAACTTCCAAGTGCTGCCTTGGACATTCTTTAAATATTGGACCCGGGGATGCGATTAATTATAGTCACCAGTAAAACACTAGTTCAACTTAAAACACGTCATATTCATCAAATCCTATCGTTATTAGTAAGTTTCTCCGTTTCTAGGATACTACAAAATTATATACAGTGATTGATAATGATGTCCATATAACATGAGATAGAGTGATGGGAAACACAGATACCAGTAGATTGGGAAGTTTTAGATATTTTTTCTGGAAGTCGACATGTGTACCGTTCATTTTTTTTTGCTACAAGAGAAGGCCCAAGGCCGAAAAAATAAAATTAAGATTCACTGGGTTTGAAACCCAAACATTCTTCAGCTATCAAATCCTTTAAACTAGGCGGGCAGATATCAAAAAGCTGAGAGTATGAGATTCCCAACTTGGCTAAGCAATCAGCAGCACGATTTCTTTTCCTCGGTATATACTCTAACTTGATAGTCCAGTTGAAGTTCAGCATGTTTAGAATTTGTTGGACCAGGAGACTGCAACTATTACTTTGGTTCTGTCTGGTTAGTTGCTCAATCAGATATTTAGCATCCGACTCCACAATTACTTGTTTAAAGCCAAAGTCCCAAGCTAATTTCAGGCCTCTAAAAATGGCCCATTCTTCTGCTTCCTGCGAACTGCAAAGGCCAAGTTGATGAGAGAACCCAGCAATCCAAACACCTTTGTGATCACGTAGCAATCCACCACATCCAGCTTTGTTGGAGTCCATAGCCATAGCCCCATCTACATTCAGCTTAATCCAATTAATAGGAGGGGGAAACCAAGAAGAGGACGTTTCAGCACCATGAGTAGTAATTGAATTACCCCCGTCCTTATGATCATTCATTTGAGTAAATAATTTCCAACTATTCCTCAAATAAGAAGTGGGGTCAGGTGGTTTAACAAAGTTCTCGTCAAATAAGTTACTATTCCTCCACTTCCATAATTTCCACACTCCTACACCCCAGAAAAGATTCCAGTTTTCAATATTAGCCTTGTCCAGTTTTCAATATTAGCCTTACCCAGGTTTTGTTTCAGGTTTGAAGAGATCCAGTCTTTTAAGTTCAAAGTGAAGAAGGAATGCCGTTCATTTTAATATGCCAGATATTATGACTTTTTGAAACTTATCCTTTTCTGCCCAAGATCATCATTTTACCCCTAAAAAGATTGTTCTGGTTCCGTTCTTTTAAAACCCAGGCTTCCGTCTTTGGACCTAGAAGGTGTTTGGCTTACGTCAGAATTGTTTTTCAGAAACAATTTTTTACAAATTGAAACAAATTTCTTTATATATTTACACCATATATTATAAAAACACATATGAAATTATAGTTTTGTTATTACTCAAACACCTCTCTTGCATATTGCGCCAAATTTGTCAATAATCGCTAGTCCAAATACTCACATCTATAAATATCTACTCATAATCTTTATAAATACATTTTAGCAGGAACTCCAATTAAAAATTATGCTAGAAACAATTTTGAACTCATTTATGTTTTTGAAGATACAGTTACCCTGAAGCCTTCAAAATTGTTCTAAACAAAAAAGATTAACAACCCTCGTTCTTGCTCGGATATTAGTAGCCAAAGTCGTACAATAATATAACAATAACCACTGTCATAACAATAATAATTAAAACAACTAAAGGGAATAACAAAAGGGTAAAAAACTAGAGGGAGGGAGTTAATTGAGGTTTCTACAAGTTCTATTGAAGAGTAAGAAGCTGTTTCTAGTTCTATGCAAGCTCCACTCTGCCGCCGGTCGAGAATGGACGAACATACTGGAAACTTGACACAGAGAAAGAGAGCGTGGGAGGAGGACCGTCGTGATTCGAACTAATAATTGGAAGAAGGGGGTGGAATATAGGTATAGCGATGGCGAGGAAGGCGACGGAGAATGAGAAGACGAACCCGTCTGGGGAGCGGAGCGGAGAGGAAGACCTGCTCCGCCGCCGTCGACAGCAACGCCGTGTACTCCTCCAGCACCTCCGCCATCACCGACACCAGTATCATCTCTTCACACTTTCCACAATCAACCACTCCAACGTCAAATGCTCTGCCTAAACACTGCGTCGGCGTCAGCAGAATGAGGAGCCAGGCCGGACAAAGCGTCTTTTATATACACAGAGAGAGAGAGAGAGAGAGCCAATTTTAAAATTCTCAAAAAGTTAAGTCAGTGATAATAAGATAAGCTTTCCCATATTTAAACTTAAAATAATTTAGCAGGATTGAGGAAATCTAAAAAAAAATAACTATTAGATTTTAAAATTTAAAATTAAGAATTATTATAAAAAAATTTTGTTATTTATTTTTCAAATGTAATTATTTTTTATAAGTGCAATAACTAATATTGATCTATAAATTTGAAATTTAATAATTATTTTTTTATTCTTTTTATTAGTAGTATTAAATAGATTTTTTGTTTGTGATTATCCAATTTTAAAATTTGGAATTGAACTATTAAAAATAATGATATTTTATCTTATCTATGATAATCTCACGGATATCTATGCCTGTGAGGGGGTCATGGTGGCCCAATCGTGTCACATCTCTCCAAACTTGTCATCTCCAATTTGGCTTAAAACCCCTTTGTGATTGGGATGCTGCCTGTGGTTTTGTGCCACGTAGCCTGCTGCTTCATGATCGATGCGGCTATCTGCGTCCTCTGTTTTTTTTTCTGTCAGGATCATGGAGGATGGGCCCCTCTCAGTTAATATCCATTTCCATTGTATTAGTAAGAGTTTATTTATTTATTTATCCTAAAAATGCTTATTCTGATTTATAAATTATAAGTTTAGATGTATATACTGGCTCTGAAAAATTTTAAAAATCCAACTCATTAAAAATTTATAATAAAAAATATTTTCAATTTAGTAATTTTATTATATTTTTTAAATTTACGAATTTAATTATTTGTTATTATTTAATAAAAATTACATTCATTTTGGACATTCTACCGATTAAACTTATTTAATTATAACTCAAACAATTTTTTATTTTATAAATTAATTTTAATAAAAATTAATCCAAATACAAATCACATTACTTAATCTCATTTTTCTAAAAGTTAAATTAAAAATAAATTATTTTTTCTATCGCCAACTTAAAAAGACTCACGACAAATTTTTGAAATTCAATTCATCCGAAATTCATAGTAAAAAAATTATTTGAATTTAGTAATTTTGTTAATATGTTATTATTATGTTTTATGAACATTTGTTTCATGTTCATTATATTGGTGAGAATAAAATTAAAGAACAAACAGTTACATTGAAAACATAATGAATCAAATCATTATTTATATAATAAAAAATTGTTATATAAATAAAAAATCATTATTTATATAACAAAACCCATAATAGATTATATTATTTATAAACAATTAATCATATTTCTATTGGTCAAATCTCATTTTAGCTTGAAATAGTGAGTAATAATTATGATTTACTTAGAAAATAACGATGATAAGAATCATCATCATGTATCGACCATACACACTTTAAAAAGTAAATAATTTATTAAAAATTATTATTTTAAAAATAATAAGTAGTGCAACTTGTATCATTTAGAATTGTTTATAAAAAATAAATGATTTATTAAAAATTATTATTTTAAAAATAATAAATTTTATAAACAGCTTTTAAAAATTTAGCCTACTAGTTGGGGAAAAAAAAACTAGCCTACTGGATTTGCATACATAACAAGAGCGCTACAATATCTAACCCGTCCCCTCCAGAACAGAACAATCTCAGAGAGGCAGAACGGAACTTGTTCAAGCAATGCGTCACCCTTGTTAGCTGCACAATCAATGGAGGCTTCTCTTAACTTCACGACATCGACTATCCTAAAGGCCACTGCGAGGCTTAACTTCTGGTGGTCGAATTTAATAAACATGGTAGCCAATTCAATAAACCAGGAATTTTGTTAGTGCAAGTGAGTTAACTTCCTACTGCGTCAATGAAAATATATATGAATCAGGTGTACAAGGAACTGACGGTTTCACACGCAGCAGGGACAGTTTAATTGTGCCTGAATGATCAGAGAGGATCGTCAGATTCAAAAAAATATGTACCCCCCGGGCCTTCAAAATGATTATCACAAGAAGAAGCACGGGAGCCACAGAGGAATATTTGGTTTAAGTAATAACGAAGCAATCCTTCTCCAGCCTTTCTGATGTTGTTTCCTACTTTGAATTAAACACAATCCTTTAATTGCCATTCAAGTCATTCCAATCCCATCTGCTTTATTCTCCCAGAAGATAGACTCGAGAGGCTATTGCTCCTATATATAATCCCTTCTTATATAGACAAACACACAAATGCAAGGAGTACTTCAACTCAAATTCACCAATTAAATAATTATCGCAGCTAGAAAATTTCATCACTCGACTTTTGAAACATGCCTTCAGAACAAGTTAGACTGAGCCAATCCGCATCTGCCGAAGCAGAGAAGCACAGGCAACTGGACAGAGAAATCAGGGAGATGGTGTCCGCCATCACTCACCGGGTCACGGATCTCCACAAATCATCCGGGTCAGGGTCAGCCCAGAATCTGGAGGACGAGGAAGATGACGGAGTGAGGATCATCACCCTGGCGGGGAACAACACCGGCGCCACCCTGCGAAGCGAACTGGGAGAAAAATCAGGTCAATTTCACGGGAGTGAAGAACAGGATGAATTGGATACTTACGTGAACAGCAATTTCCAGGCGATAAACAACTCAATGATGATGGGCGGTAGCTACGAGGCGAACGATCCTGGAGTGTGCTTGGATATCTCGGAATTCACAGGGCCACGATCAGGACACCGTGAGAAGCATGGGAAGAAGGCCAAGAAGGAGAAGAAGGAGAAGAAGAAAGAGAAGGAAGCCGAAGCCTCGTCCTCCGCCTCCTCCACTGAGCAACACCATTCTGGTTGAGATAAATGCTGTGGTTGTGCAGTTCTGAAACTATACGTCCAATTCTTCCTTGAAAAACGCGGGTGGAGCTCGTTGATTTCCCGTTTGCCTCTTCATTGTGTGTTTGTTCCCTCCTCCTTTTTTCCGCACGTAATTGTTATTTTATTTCTGCGCTAATCATGGGTGAAGGAATCGGCTCTTATTTATCATTATAGGTTTATTACATCATAATAATGGTGTGATGACTAAATAACATTACTTTATTTATTTTGCAGAAATTACAGTTATTCTTACTAATTATGGAAACAAGATTAATTTATTATTTTTAAAATGATTAATTATTCGATAATTTAATATTTTGAATTTTTTCGAAGTAAACTTTTATGTTATATTAAATAACTACTGTACTGTAATTAGGAACAAAATGTTTTCAGAAACATAATCTTATCATTGCCTGTATAGTGTGTTGTTGCTCTTGATTTGTTTCTTGAATATAAAATTTGTAATTAATTTCTGGGAAAGAATTTTCAAAAATTACTGCATCGAATCCATAATATGAGAGTTCTTTTAATTTTAATTTTGATTTTAAATATAAGATCCAAATTTATTTTGTCTCTCATATTTATTTATTTTTGTAAAATAGTTCTTATAATAATAGTAGTTCTAACCAATATACTTGATTAGTAAAGATATTTTAGAAAAAAAATACATATTTATTACTAATAACTAATTTAACTAATTTTTTAATCTATTTAAATTAATTAATTAGTTCTTATATTAAGCACCCGAGACAGTATTAAAATAGTATATGTCAATTCAATTTAATATCTAAAAATCATATACTCTGTCAACCAAAAAAAATAAAAATCATATACTCTTGAAAAAATACACACACGCACATATTACTATTACACGTTAGAGATGAATTAAATTACCCGGTCAAAAAAAAAAAACAGAGATTGAACTAAATTAAAGTTATTAGAACAAAGTTTGAGAGACAAGTATACATTACATGACAAATAAATTATCCTAGATTCTCATCTTAACAAACAACATATCCTCGATTCTAACCTTAACAAATATGTAATCTTTTTCTTTAATTATTTTAACGAGTTAAACAGCAAAATATTACTTTTTAAAGTTGGTGCCTTGGTGCGTTAAAACAGCTAAGCTATCTGGTACTTTAATGACTGTATCCGAAGATTTTTGTTTTTTTCACCATACTACACTTCAAGGATATAAATAACCCATCTTTTCCTTAACCTGAAATTACCAACCGATTGTTAATGTAAAAACTAGTTAATTAATTTAAGTAGATTAAAAAATTAATTAAGTCAGTTATTTGAAATAAATAAGTGTTGTCTTTTCTAAAATATTTTTATTAATCAAGTGTATTAGCTACAACTATCGTAATTACAAAGATTACTTTGAGAAAAAATGTATAAATATGGAAGAATATATTAAAATATTATATTTAAGATCAAAATAAAAAACAAACTCGTTATTATATTAAAAACATAGTGCTTTATTTGAGGACCATCCTATATTCTTAAAATTCTAAAGCCAGGTTAGTGTGGGGTCGTTCAACAGAGGGAATTAGCATAGGAGCTCTTCCAACTCAAAAAAAAGAAAGAAAGAAAGACTTGGCATTTAGCAGCGCAGATACAATAATTAATTACCTAACTTTGAAACAACTTATCATTTACTGAACAATCAGAATCAGGTTATACGAATAGATATTCCCCCCCCCCCCCCAAAAAAAAAGGACGAAACAAATTCATTTAATCATTTTTCCTTTTTTCCCCAGAGGAATTGCAAAGTTCAAAAATGAAACACCCTGTCAATCACTGGAGACTACGATGTGTTGCATTTGAGGTTCTTGTCCCATGATTTCTCCATCTTGTTGGCATGGCTTAGTCATATTCTCGTGATTTTGCTTTTCCATGTTCTTACCCCAGAGCAGAATGTACAATCCCCCCATCACCAATATGGATCCCATCAAACTGCAACACCCGAATCAGGCAAAAATCAGTCACATACTTCATAATTGTTCGTTGTAAAAGGCTAAATACGTTTTAAGTCATAATGGTGAGCATATGAGTGGTTATTGTAAGCATTTACCTTCCAACATGAAGGGGCTCGTGCAAGATAGGAATGTCAATCATGGCTGCCATTATCTGAACAAGAGGGCTAAATGATGCAGTGAACACAGGACCCTTTTTCTTCACACACCATGACAGCCCCACAAAACACAAACCAGATCCTACCATCCCCTGCATATCGTACAGAGTTTCATTACTTTGGTCTTTATTACACTATGAAACCTCGATGACCAAAATATATCGGTTTTGTATTTAACACAGGAAAATAAGTACTCACAGAAAACACAACAGTGAGTATTTGCATGTTTCCCTTTAGAATCCATACGGACGAGTGCTGGGAAGTGGACAGGCTAAGAACAGCAGATTGGATGGCCCCAAAGAAGGTCATGATGGCTGTGCTAGAATATTGGCAGGGGTACTTCTTTCCTATTTTTGATTGCAAGAGAAACCAAGAGGACCAAAACAGTGTCCCCACAATCAGAGCTATCACACCAGTGGTCCATCTCTCTGTGTTCCTCGGAGCAGAATTCTGCTTCACTGCAGAAACCATATGACTTGCAGCTGCTGCCTCACTTTGAGAATAATTGAACAAGGGCTTTCCTTTGTACAGTGTCAATAACAATGCTCCTCCAATGCACACCACTGTGCCAAGTATCTTTGCTCTCCCTCTGTTGCATTTTATGTTCACAGTCTCTAACCTGAAGGGGAACAAGCTTCTGAATTAGTTGATTATATGCCTTGAATCTTAATGTTGCATCAACATAATACGTGAACTTATGTGAGTATACTGATGAGTGTATATATATGGAAGGGGAAAGGGGTGTGCCTTTTTGTTCATACCCAAATGGTAGTGCCATGATGAATGTGACCACCGGAACCATGTTAATAAAGGCACATGCGAAAGTAGCAGAGGTGTCTTGGATTCCCAGAAGGTAGAAGTACTGTGTGAGTGATGTCCTGCAAGAAATTATTGATCAAGTGTTACTCCACGAGAAGGTTAGTTTCTTAGCTACACAATAGATCATTTTATGGTAACATGAAGAAAAATGGATTCAGAAAAAAGGAATGCTGAAGTAACAGAAGTGTATCTGACTAACCCAAATAATGCACTGAGGAAGAGGTAACATAAAATTCGAAAAGTGAGTTTTGGCCGGCCATTTCTGCAAACAAAAGCACATGGTTATGAGATTTCTGATTTCTCTTCGGGAATTGAGTCCAGAAAACAAAGGAGGCCACAGAATTTGGGGCTACAAGAACGTACCTTTCCCAGAAGAAAGCAATTGGTGCTAAGAAAACGCAAGAAACAGACAAGCGGTATGTGATTATAACCAAAGGGTTCATGCCCTCTTGCAGGACTTTCTTGAGAAGAATATTGACGACAGCGAAAGCGAAATCAATAAACACCATTGCTACAAAAGGTTTCCATGCTTCAGAATTCATCTTCATGCTCAAGGGCCGAGTGTGAAGCTATAGGATGTTACAGAAGCCTTCGTCCTTTCCTTTATCTTTCTCTTTAGCAGAAAAAGTTATGAGATGCAATGGAGAGTGAGGTGAAGAAGCTTTTATATTGACAAAAGAAGGCAAGATTAAACACAGCGAATCACAGCAAACACAAAAAGAAACCAACTTTAACTATAATTATGCTCTTGCCTTTTGCTTTATTAAGACTAATGATCCTGCTCAACATGGACATAATTGGAGAACCTTTTCCCAGGATCGTAGAAAATACATTTAATAAGCTGGTTCAAAACCCGTGTACCTAATATCATTGGCCTTAATTAGGCCATGAGTTTTGCGTTGCAGGGCATTAACGCAGGATTAGGATTCTGTATTCTTAAACCATGTATGATTATAGGTGGCAAGAATATTATAGCTAAGAGTGTATAAAAAAACGGGACACTTTTCCTCTCTTAATTAACATGGCATCTAATACTTTCATGGTCATATCTCCAAATAGCACACCAGACACATTTTTCACATCTGATGCAAAACCCGGAACAAAATGTCAGATCTGGGTGCAGAAGAAGAAGAAGCTAGAAGAAGCAGGAAAACAGGAAATCAGCAGTGGAGACTTTTTCCTACTGTAGTGTACGAGATAAGGCCTGTAACTCTGGGGTTTTTATAACCTGTGTGATTCTGATTCATCTCTAATGTCTAATGTCTTCCTTTAAGTCACCTGATGTGATTTTGTGTGGTGACTGATGTTGGTCGATAAATGGAAATTAGTACATTTCGAATGTAGGAAAGCTATAAATTGATAAATTCTTAGAATGAAATTATATTAATTTTCAATTGAAAATATAAAATTTTCCAAGGAATGTATATCTTCTGATAAGTAAAATTTGTATCCTCAGAGATATTTTGGTGATCTCATATCGTTATCAAGTTCAATATTAAAGAGAGAATTTTGTGATTTAAATGTATATCTCTAAGAAAACTAAAATATATATCTCTAAGAAAACTAAGTTTCCAAATAAACTTGATTTTTCAAACATTAAGTGAATACACATCGTGTCCCTGAGGCTAGCTCCTAAGAGTGGGATATAAATAGAAATTAAGAGTTATTTTTTCTAATATAATATGAATTTTGGGAAGCATATTTATTAGGAGGATTTTAACATTAATGCTCCTAGTCCAACAAAACTTTAGGGACATTCTGACTTACACCCAAAAAAAAAAAATAAGTGAACCAATCCTTAATGAATTTTGTCCCTCCCGAATATATAATCCTTTGGCTCTACAATTTTTCCACGTGTAAAATCATTTTGATGTTTAAAACAGCCATTACTATATGCATGTATAGGACCAATTTTTACGAAGTATTTGAATATAAATCAAATCATGGTTTTAAAAATAATTTTATAATATATGAAATAAGAGTTAGAAAATTTTTATTCCAATTTACATAAGAATACTTTTTAAAAGTGTTTTTAGATTTAATTTGGATTATCTTTGGGTGGGGATTATGATATTGAGAGTCCAAGCTGTTCGGGTTTCAGCTTTTCTGCAACATTATGCAGCATTCTTCACCTGATATGTTTCTCATTATTCTTTATGAATACCGAGATGTCTGTGGCATAACAAGGACCGTTCATTTTTATTAAAAGATCATTAAGCATATAATCGCTCAAAAATTTATATTCTGAAACACGTTGATATATACTGATGAAAAAGGATTCAAGCATACGAGAACCCTTCTCCGCTAACCATAGATTGTGCCTCTTACCTTTTTAATCAATTTTTATATAGTATGTCCTATGAGTAGCCACCACTATCTCAAAGTACGTGCCAAATATAATTGTGGGACTAGGGAATTTCTGGGCACACTGGGGTGTTTTGGCCACTCATGAAAACATGCTTGGACTCTGTATTTTTAATGGTATAAATTAAAACATCGATCTGGCAGAGATTTTCTGTTACTGTATCGGAGCTTTTCTATCTTTTTAGATTATGTCTGAAGTGGGACCTTTCTTTTGTAGAAGATACTCTCTGCAGCTAAAATATCCCGAACTCTCCCATTACCTTTGACTTTCGCAGCATCGTATGCTTTCCAATCTTGGACGTAAAAAGGATTGAGAATTCATAGTCTTATCAGAAGTGGGACCTTTCTTTTGCAAAGGAGACTTCTATATTTCATGAGAATATTATTCTAGATTTTGCGAATACATTGATAAATGGTATATTGATGTATGGTAGAAACATATACATAATATATCCTTTCTTGCCAGAAAAGCAAAGTATATCATTACGATCACCGATCAAACAATCAGTAAGTAGCCAAAAGGATTTAAAGAACAAGACTTTATTGTTTATTCGTGTCATTACAAACAAAACAAATTGATGAAATAATGACTTGGTACTGATGAATTTATAAAACAAACAAATCGATATATATGATGGGGTTAAAAGAATAATTAGTGGATCAGGAGTTGTCTGATGACTCTTTAACGTTAATCAACCAAGCTCGGAAGTATAGAGCAGTGGATCCCAAGTGCCACCGGGCTAAACCAACTGTTGTTATCACAGTGCACGAACTGTTGCTGCTCAGGTGACCAGAAGCACTCAGACGAAGTTTCACCAATCTGATTCACCTCTAAGCTCACCACATTCGTTTGACCATTCTTATCACTGTTGGATAACCCCTGATCTGAACATGTCAGGTCAAAGGTTGACTCCGGCTCAGCCACCCCAGAAAAAGGCCACGATCCCGTGCTTCCACGAACAGCATCGGCAAGTAAGCCACTTTCAGAGCCCTGATTCGTCTCCTGTGACTGCCATGGCAGTCCATATGCTGCATCGTTTGACCAGCCCAAGCTCATGCTCCTCATGGTCGTCGTTCCAGGATCTACAGTATCCGAAACGATTACTCTCTTAGCTTTGGGGGGATTTGAGGGTATTGATATTTCTGTGTTGCTTGGATGGTTACGTGTAGTTGAGCTCGAAGTCGCATTATACCCAATAATAGACGTAGGATTCGATGATGTCTTTGTCCCATCATCAAACAATTTGGCTCTGAGAGCACCAACAAGTCCATCTGAATCTGCACCAGCCTCAGGCACATCCTCGAACGAGAAGGGCTCCATGTTCTCCGGCGCGTAGCTAAAACCGCCGCAGCCAGAGGCTGCAGATTGATCCGGCAGTTCAAAGTTGGTGCGAGCATTTGCACCACGCAAGGCACGAGCCGCGGAGTCATAGGCTCGAGCTGCATCTTCTGCAGTGTCGAAAGTTCCGAGCCAGAGCCTGACCTTCTGAAGTGAGTCTTTGATCTCGGCCACCCATCTTCCGGACGGCCTCTGACGAACGCCAACGAACCTGTGGTGGCCCCGTGACGATGACTTCTTCGCCCTACCCTTCGTTTCGTTACTTGGTGTTTTCATTTCTGCTTAGTATTAACATCACGATGTTCTGTAACACTTGGAGGTGACGACTTATTAATAGGGCTGAGATGAAACGAAGGCATTTGAGAGCTGTAAAAGGGACAAAGGAAATGGCGACAAAGGTAAAATGGATTGATATGAGTGTTGTTTATGGGGACGTCGCCATTATTGCAGGCCGTTTAGTTGGTATCGACGTACACGAACGTAAATTCTCTTACAGGTCTGTCTGCTCATGACCGTGTCATAAGATCGATTTAAGTCGTAAATATTTAATTAATTAGGTTAGAAACTCTAATTTGGTGAAAACGTAACACATGAACACGGGAATTGATAAGTGAAAACAGAAAAGAATAAGATGATGAAACTTGGGCAGATCTCACTTCAAATTAAATAAGTACTCCTCCGGTCCTTATTATAAGACCCAATTTGACTTTTTATTTGGTCTTAATTATAAGACCCAATCCATTTTCTCTCTTATATTTATGCATTTTTTTCCAAGATAATCCTTCTAATAATGATAGTTTTAGCCAATATACTTAATTAGCAATGATATTTTAGGAATAACAACACTTATTTATTATAAATAACCAACTTAACTTACTTTCTTAATCTCCTCAAATAAGTCAATTGGGTCGTATAATTAGGACCGGAGGAGTATTTGGGAAAGAACTATTAATAAAGCAGAAAAATTAAATTGCTTAAACATTTTAGAATACAATGTGCTTATAATTACCCTCGACTGAGTAAATCTAATTGGCCCCATTTAATACAATATTCTTTACCATGTTAAAAGCTTAATGGATTAAGCCGCGGTACCTCAAATAGTGGAGATAACACCAAATGAAGTAGACTAAATGATAACATGATCAAAGAAAATACTAAATCCAATACTTAATATATGAGCATGTTTGACATTTAATTTGATCCTAAATATAAAACTAGCTCAATCTATTTTATCTCTCATATTTATTGATTTTTTTTCTAAGGTAGTCTTGTAGTAGTTGTATATGTTAAAAGTTTCATCAAATGATAGTTTTAACTAATACACATGATTAACAAGGTATTTTAAGAAAGACAATATCTATTTATTACAAATAACTAATCGTAATTTTTTTTAACCTTATGAAATTAATTCATTAGCTCTCATGTTAAGTATGAGAGGTAGTATGATTTTTTTTTTTAAAGATTAATATGATTATTAATGATTCATCTCATGAACAAAGTGTAGATGTTCGTATTATAACTTATGGACGCCTTTCTTTTTTCTATTTGAACGAATTCAAGATCCAAGTTGCTAGATACATGTGCGTGATCTTCGTATTGCGACGTACGAGTGCTCAAGAGGTACACATGCTACCTAAACTCTAATGAAATCTGATAAATATGTACTTTTTCCAGTGACCACTTATAATGATGTTCATTCTAATACCTGAATCTTTCGATTATATATATATTGAGTATTATATTTTACATAAAATGTAATAAAAAAATAATATATTATGGTGATGAAACGGTACAATTTCATAATTTTTAAATTCAGAACTTTTTCCCCGAAAAAAAACATAGGAAATACAAAATTGCATCGTTTGATGATCATAAAATATCAAAATATCTCTATTTTATAAAGCCGCCAGCCCTGCTTAATTAGCACCTCATCTTTATGATGAGGCAGGATCTGTACTATTCTAATTGTGGCCAATCCAGCTTTCTTTTCATGTGGAAAAAAAAAAAAACCAGAAAACAAAGAACACCCAGACGTTATGTTTTTCCGGAAAAAGTGTGGTAGGCCGTCGACTTTATCACTTTACACATAACATATTTGTGTATATGGCGGCAAAAGCAAGAACATGAAGCAACCATGAATCCAAAGTTATATTTGAATCCTTAAACAAATGAAAACACAGTTTCCACGTGAAGCAATAGGCAAACTGATGAATCATGCATCATCTCATCAGTTACCATTCTGGCGTAACGCCGTGACAGCTCTACAATCCTCAAGAACTCTTCCGCCTTTTCTCCTCACCATAACAAGGCAACCCTACATTACCGCCCACCCTGCTTCCAGCTTCAGTTTCCCACGTCTACAGTATTTCACTGAGGTTTACTCAGATCAATATTTACCTCACTTGTCACTCTTAATCCACCCACCCAAGGTACAACAAGTCTTCAACACAATTACACAAAGCATAATGCTAATCATTAATTAATACCCATTAGAGTTGAACAGAAGTATAATCACCATTACACACTGCTGGGTTACATATAGCATTTGATGAGGCAGAGAGAAGTTTAAACAGAGACAGGGGGCTACAAATAAGAACATAATTGAGCAGTGCTTCAATCATCAGTTAATTAATATCCAATATCTTCCATTAGTGACCCAGAAGTCTCAAGAGTTAGTTCCAGCGACCGCCATCATGTCCAAAATGATGATCCGCTACTTCACAATGCATGCAACTGCATATGCCCATGACTTGAGATGCTGCTTCATTGCGATGTCATCATGATAAGGAAGCTGCGTCCAGCTTAGTGGATTAAGCTTCTCATCGAACCCCAACTCAACCCCAATAATCTTCCTCGTTCCGTGCCGCTCTGACCTGTTCCTTCTCTTTCTTCGCTTCCTTCCTCCGCCTCTGTCTTTCGTCTCCGTTTCTGCTTCACAAAGAATATTCTGGGCCTCAACAATCTCAGAGTCTTCTTGCAGATTCAGGGGTGAATCACATTTGGGAGGCTCGTCGTCGTTGGGGTGGATGAATGGGGTCAAACAAGGCTGAGGGCCATCTCTGCAAGTCAAGACGTTGGTGTAGAACCATAGGGAGTCTAGGCTCTGGAAAACCCGTGACGAACCCATGAGAGAATAAGCTAAAAGCTGCGCGACCGGGGGGGCAGAGACGAACCATGTGGATGTGGCTTGGTTTATATTAATTTAATAATTTGAGAAAAAGGAAGAAGCTATTTCTTTTCCTTCTGTAACAGATTGCCAAAAGAATGAGAGGCGGGGGGGGGGGGTTGGTTGGTTCTCGTTCTGTGTTTTATCAGATGGACCAAATTACCCCTATGGTGTTGAATTTTGCGTTGCATGGATGGGGACAGTTTGGTCCCGCCTGAAAACAGCGGCCGAAGACCGTGGGCGCCGCGCCGTTACTGAGGCTGCGTGGGTACAATAATTTCTATAAATGGAACAGTATTCCTTTATCAGTCCCTGTGAAATTATGACAGCTTAATAAATCATAAGTAAAGCCACCAAATTCTAGAAGTTACTCGCAGAATTATGCCAACCCAAGAAAGGAAATTGAGTTTAAGCCCACTTTTGTTAAAATACTGACAATTAAATATTATAAATAAGATGGAACACATATTGTTACATAAAATTTGTCATTAAATTATAAGGTCATTCGCTAAGCCCCTTTCCATTAACGAAGGGAAAGAGAAAATATCATTCAAGTAAGCCAGAAGGGTAGCGTGTTGAAGAAATTGAATATGTAAACCCAATCCAAGCTACAGTCCAAAGAGGGGGGAAAAAAAAAACCGAATCCAAGCCCCTCTCCCTATATATATCATTATATTGTTCAATTTTTTTAGCCGTCAATTTTTTTTTTCTTTTTCAAACATCAATTGATTCTATTAGATTGTTTTTGTTAATATAATATTTTTGTGTGCGTGATAGATTCATGTTATGTTATGTTCTGCTTGACGTGACAATTTTTAAGAGTTGAATTTTTTATTTTTATTTAAATATTTAAATTTATTAATTACCTTAATGTTATGTAAAAATAATGTTTAACTAATGGATATTTATAATTTCAAAATATGATACTTTTTATTTTAATATTATTCTTTAATAAAATATATTTTGTATGGAGATAATTATATCTTGTTCATAATTGAAATCAATTTGTTATTTTTCGGCTTGTTTTTTTTCTTTTTACAGTTTCTTTAGAAATAGTCTTGTATACACATCGTGCTGGGCCAAATGCGAGGTGGGTGCACAAAGCAGGCACTAGACTGATATTCAACTTAATTTTATTCTATTTTTCACGCATGAATAGGAAATAAATCATTTTTATAGTTTATTGAGTTAAGCTTTTGCCTTCCAAGCATGTTTTCCTCCTAGAATATTTAGTACTAGTGAGTTAGAAAAGTGCAGAGAAGGAGGAGTGATTTTTTTTTTTTTGGACTCAAGGAGGAGTGATTTGCTCCATTCTCTCTGTTCAGTTCATAATTATGAAAAATAAGTTCAAAATTATGAGAAAAAACCTTTGTCCTCTCTTTCTCTCTCCTACAAAACATGTGTTTTGAGGAAAAAATAGAGATAGCAAACTTTTGTTGTGACTAAATCAACTTTACTAATGAATTAACCTTATTAATTTTTACTAATTTAAAGATTGTCCCGATCCCTTTTTCTTAAAAAAAAAACTCATTCAATTTTTTTTTTTATAACCAGCTAAACACCCGTTCAGTTTGGTTTTTTGTTCCTTCTTCAGGAGGTGTTTGGAAACTTGTGAAAAGTGAAAAGTGTTTTTAGAATCCAAACCAAAGTTTGGTACCAAAAATAGCCTTTTTTTTTTTTTTCCAAACTATGGTTTTGTCATGAAACCATGATTTACCTTATCAAACCCATGGTTTTACCATAAACATATTTTTTTTGTTTTCTGGAATCTGGCTCCTGTTGCTGTGTCATTGAAATTTTTTGCCCCTCACGCCTTTACATTGCTTCTTCTTTCTCTTCTCTCACTCTTCTTTTTTTACCTGTTCTCCTCCCTTATTAATGTAAAATAATTTTTTTTTGGGAAAAGGTATTCATTTTTTATAAAAACATATTTAATCTTATATTTTTTAAATGTATATACACATATTAATTATTTATTAATTATATTGGTAAAAAATATATTATTAACAATTTTATTCCTTCAAATTAAAATATATTATAAAATCTATCTTTTATGTAATTATTATATTAACTTATATATTTTTTAGTAATTTGTATATATAAAAAGTGTTTTTGATAACAACTATCTAAACACTCTCACTTTATCATACTCACTTTTTTATAAAATATATTTTTAACAAAATCTATCTTTCAGAAACTATTCTTCAAACTATAGTTTGGTTTTATCCAAACACTTTCTTAATCTCATAATTCATACAGTAAGTTTGAGGTTTATATGACAATATAATTGGGACACATCACAAATTTTCTAAAAAATAGAACGTTTACAATGAATGGTGTGAGAGATTATTTTACGACATTTGCGTTATTAAAAAAACTTAGATTTAATGAGTATATAACATGACATTCGCTTATTATTCTTATCTCTTGTATCATCATCTGAAACGAAGAAGGTGCTGTCAAAATTTCTTTTAGCCAGACCAAACGAAATAGTATACATTAAAATAAAATCACTAATTCAATTGTTGGCAAAAAAAAAAAAATCATTAATTCAATTGCAACAAAGGGACCAAGACGAAGTGATCAGTCAGCAGTCAGCACACCGCAGCTATCTGCTATTGCAACACTGCCTCACCCCCACCGCTTCCTTCCCCATCCTCCTCTCATAACCGCTGTACGGCGGCATCTCTGTCTCTCCACCAAACCACTCTGCGAATCTCTCTGCTTTCTGCTTCCTTCGTCCTTAATGGCAGTTCAATGACCCAGAAAACACTCTTCAAAGTCAGATTTCTAACATTGATCTGTCACCCCTCAAATCTGCGACCCCATCCATCCATACCACTCGGCCCCCTCAATGCCTTCTACTCCCCCGAGCTTCGCTCTCTCCATCAGGGACGACCACATGGATGGCAAAGATGGCGTGAAGGAGAGCAAGTGTGCTTTCCTTGTGGTAGCTCTCTGCCCTTGTCTCGTATGTTTTATTCTTCTTTTAATTGCACTGTCTATCGTTCTCGTCGTCAAATTCCATTTCTTTTGCCACTCTCCTATACATTCCTTACTCTTCAAAAAGAATTGTTGATTCCCCTTTTGGGAAAAGTTTCTGGTTCATCGGCAATTGATAGTTCTAGGACATTTGCACGTGTTGGGGGTGATGAAGATGAGGAATCCGAGGTTGAATCTGGAAATGAGGATGATGATAGTGATCGGGATTGTGATGGTGGTAGGGATCTTAATGCTAAATCCGGTGCTGACCCGGATGAAGTTGATAGGGTCTGCAAGGTGATCGATGAATTGTTTGCGTTGGATCGGAATATGGAGGCAGTTCTTGATGGATGTGGGATACAACTGTCAGATGATTTGGTTGTCGATGTTCTGGGGCGGTTTAAACATGCTCGGAAGCCAGCATTTCGGTTCTTTTGTTGGGCAGGTCAGAGGCCGGGTTTTGCCCATAACTCCAGGACATATAACTCAATGCTGAATATTCTTGGGAAGACTAGACAGTTTGAAACCATGATGGCAATGGTAGAGGAAATGGGTGAGAAAGGCCTTTTGACAATGGAAACTTTCACCATTGCTATCAAAGCCTTTGCTGCTGCGAAGGAGAGGAAAAAAGCTGTCGGGATCTTTGATCTGATGAAGAAGTACAAATTTAAGGTTGGTGTTGATTCTATTAATTTCTTGCTTGATACACTTGGAAGGGCAAAACTTGGTAAAGAAGCACAGGCCATATTTGAAAAACTGAAAGACAGATTCACGCACAATTTACAGACTTACACGGTGCTTCTTAATGGTTGGTGCAGGGTTAAAAACTTGATGGAGGCAGGGAGGGTGTGGAATGAGATGATTGATAAGGGATTTAAGCCAGATGTTGTTGCACATAATGTTATGCTTGAGGGTTTGTTAAGGTGTAAGAGGAAGTCTGATGCAATCAAATTATTTAAAGTCATGAAAGCTAAAGGTCCACTGCCCAATGTTCGGAGTTACACAATTGTAATACGGGATTTGTGCAAACAAAAAATGATGGGAGAAGCAACTGAGTATTTTCATGAAATGATCGATTCTGGGTGTCAACCAGATGCTGCTGTCTACACGTGTTTGATCACTGGGTTTGGAAACCAGAAGAAAATGGGTGAGGTATACAATCTACTAAAGGAAATGAGGGAGAAGGGCTGTCCCCCAGATGGGAGGACCTATAATGCATTAATAAAGTTGATGACAAGTCGACATATGCCCGATGATGCTATGAGGATATACAAGAAGATGATTCAAAGTGGCGTTGAACCAACTATTCACACTTACAACATGATAATGAAGTCCTTTTTCATGACAAAAAATTATGAAATGGGTCATGCAATTTGGGATGAGATGTTTCAGAATGGGTTCTGTCCTGATGAAAATTCCTACACTGTGTTAATTGGAGGGCTTATAAGACAAGGAAGGTCAGAAGGGGCATGCAAATTCTTAGAGGAAATGATCGAGAAGGGAATGAAGGCACCACAGCTTGATTACAACAAGTTTGCTGCTGATTTTTCTAGAGCAGGGAAGCCTGACATACTTGAGGAGTTAGCTCAAAGGATGAAATTTGCTGGTAAATTTGAAGTTTCTAATGTCTTTGCCAGGTGGGCGGAGATGATGAAGAAAAGGGTCAAGAGAAGAGAGCCTACAAAATATAGTAGGCAGTTTTCATGAAGATCTTGGTGCCGGCCAGAGCCTCTTTGGTCAAGTATGACGCTAAATCCAAAATGTTATATCAGCTATTTGCCTGCAACATGTTATGAATTTAATATGTTGGGTTTATTTCCTTCCTATCATAGATGTTCGATGGTGCTTCTGGATAATAAGGTGGTCAGTCTGGGAATCTTTTCTCACTCGGGCACTCTGTTGTCTTGAAGGATTGCTAGTGAAGTAGTTCGACTTAGTTTCCAAAAGACAGCGAGTTACGTTGTTAGGTCTTCATTGTAATCAATGTTGAAAGCCGAGTTAATTCTTGGGATTTTGTGTGCGTCATTTGTCTAATTCATATTTTGTATAATGCTGTTTGGTAAACTGACTGACCAGGGTTGTATGATTACGGTATGAGTTGGATAAGAGCATTGTTGATGGTTGTAATTTTTTCTGGATCCTTATTTATGTTCACTAAGCAGGATGCAAAGATCAACTCTGTACCCTCGGTTTTAATGAGGATAAAACCCAGTTCTTTGTTTAATCGAACAGCAGGAGGCTGTTTAGTCAAATCAAGTCCGGGCCTTTCTGGTCTGGTAACTCCCGCTGACCGCGCATGTGCAAGTAAATGTGACACAAGATATTGTAAGGTTGTACCTAGGTGTTATTGGATCCTTCATATGTGCCCGTATGCTTGACATAGGGAGCTCAAGGGGACCTTCCTTAAATGTTCAATTTAATTTACCGTCATATTCAGATTTGCTGAACATTAGCTGCAGAGAATTTTGAGCCATAATTAAGAACCATCGTGCAAGATCATTAAAATGAAGAACAAACAGAAATACTAACAGCAGAGGCATGCCTGCAATGATATGATATTGCTTGGATCAAATGGTGGAGCATCCGAGACCGTTCTTGCTCAAAACACAGGTCTTAAGGAAGAAAATGGCAATTATATGTGAAAGATTAATAAAAAACAACCACCTTATGAGTCGTAGTGCGATAATATAAACCGTGAGAAATGCACTATATGTTATTTACTGATAGCCATTCGCCTTCCATAGCGTCAAAGCCTGCAGTGTAACCAACAGTGTCCCAATCACTGCTTGTACGAACAATGACTTCACATCTACGACCATCACCTTTAAGATGGAACTCCAAACCATCATATGCAGAAAAGTTGGTTCCGAGAAATTCTGAAAGTTAATCATTTGACTAAGCACTCTTTAGTAAAATTAACTGTCTACATGATCGCCTTTGATCTGCTTTGAATTTAAAGACATGCATATGCTTGTATGATTTTATCAAGAACTTCGTAAATGCAGTACACTCAGTGACTTTTTGTTTCTCAAATTTAGATAATCTGAAATACACATCCATTTTGAGGCAGAGTGAAATGCATGTAAATAATCATTCAGAAGACAAGTAGAAATTTCAATTTCAACAATCTAAACAAATTTTTTCTCGTTAATTATGTACACTCATGATGAAACTCATTTCAATTCTCATCTAGTTTTGCTTTACATGTTGTCTATGACGTACAAATCGAGCGAAAAGATATGAAAAGTGAATACAATTATACACTGTCTTCTGTTATGATTGAGAAGTATACGAGTTTCTGGAAAATGTGGAATTCCAACAAAACTGGAGGAAAAGAACTGAAACGTCATGCGCTTCCTCAAGTGACAGTGGAAGCTACAGCGTGAGCCCACCATCTGAGGCTATCTTTGATGTCAATTTCATTGTTTAGAGCTGGAACTCTCCAACTCATTAGTGAGTTCTGCTTCTTTTGCTTGTCCAGAACATCCCACGCTTCAGAGAGGTAAGGTCTCTGGATTGCAGAGTAATTATCAGATTCCCTTTCTTTCTCATCTTTCTTCCCTAACCTTTGCAACCCAGGAATAATGGAAGCCAAACTCGAGTCTTTGTCTTCTTCTGAGAAAACAAAACCCAAATCCATGAAACCCTTGAGCTCTTCGAATTCCAGGTCCGACAAGCTCTTGTTTTCCCGTTTCTTCCTTCCCCTTCTTGCAATATTCTTATTACAAGGCGACACTCCAAGATTTTCTTGCGCTCTCTCTTCAACTTGTGTACCTGTGACTTCTTTTCTTGAGACGATGGTTTGGAGATCAGCTTGAAGAAGAACAGAGTCTGGAGAAAAGGTCTCATTCTTGAAGCTTGTAATGGACTTCAGCTGGTCGCTCAGGGACCTTGTATGCTTGGTTTTGATACGCGAAAGCTTCGGTTTTGATGACTCTTGCTCCATTTTGTGATCTGGGTTTGATACTGACCTTGATGTCCTACAAGAACTTGAGTTTTCCTTCAGGATTTGGAGCTCAAACCAGCAAGAATCATATAGCTTCAAGACTTCCTCTGCGTTCATCAATTGAGGCATTTCTTAATTGCGCGTTAGCAGCAGTTGATTACCTCTATATATACCCAACTTTATCACTAAACTGCCCTTCATTTCACTCTGAAATTACAACACCAATCCAACCAACTATTCGCACGTTTTACATTGATCAATTCAGTATTAATAATATATTTGTAGCAGTCATATATTTTCGGAGTTGTAATGTTGGTTTTGTTGGAAAAAAAGGAAGCATCTGGAATGAGGAAGCTTGAGGAAGAGGCAAAGCAAGGTTGTTCGCAGTATATAACTAAGGATGTTAGCATATAAAAACATGGTTGGGGACTAGTTAATATCAACCACCAATGGCTATCTTTTTCTCTTTACTCAGATATTGACATTTTTGGGTCACATCGTTTTTATTGTTCCATGATCACACCATGTGTTCATGCCCAAAGTAATGGTTTTGGCAGTAGCAATTATTGATGGTTGCTTCCAAACTACACTAAAATCATTGCTCCTTAGATTGCCATACCTAAAAATGATGCAGCTTTCAGCATATTTGCTCCCTGAATTTCCATTTTCATAGACAACTTTCTGAATTTCCTGTCTCACGGATGAAATATATCAGGAAATATGTGAATGGACGATTTTTGTTCACACATGTCATAGTCTCTCACAGTTTGTGGAAGTAAACCAATGTCTAGATTGTTAGGTTGAGACCCGAAAATAATACAGTTGAGGGCACATCAGGGTGGTTATGATTTGATATTAAATTGTGGTAAACGTGATTAACGATAGCACAACCTTCTAATAATTTAGTTGCTTTTATGGTTATTTAATCTTGTGTAAATCAAAGGGCTAATATAATTTTTATTCCTACAAGTTTGTCTACAATTTAATTTTAGTTCCTCAAATTTTCAACTATAGTTTTTTGTCTCTCAAGTTTTTTTTATTTAAAATATTAGCCTTTATCGGAAGGGCTCATCTCATGATAAACTAAAATTTGAATTCCTGTTAGAAGATGTGTCCATATTTAGTGTCTGACAATATCTCGAATAAGATTGCCTCCAATAAAAAGACACACGTGCTTAGTCAAAAATATTGGTTCTGGTAGTTCAATAAAAACTTGTACCAAAATATTACAACTTATGATTTGAAACTTAAAGAATTAAAATCAAAATAAGAACAAACTTGAGTGAGTAAAGATTATATTAATCCTGAATCAAATATAGGCACATAATATTTCCCACAATCGCGTCGTATCTTTATATTTTTCGCGCTCTCTGTCTGCCCCTCTTCTGTTCATACTTCATTGAGAATGGAAGTCTATCAAAATTGGAATTTAGAAAGGCTACTAATCATCGAGTGATGTGACTCTTGTACATGTCAAATTCTTACTTTCATATATTCATCAGCATACAATGCATGGTTTTTCTTTTTTTTTCTTTTTTTTAAAAGGATTGAATCAAAATAGATACAAAAATTAATAATTAGAATAATAATTACGCTTATTATTTATTGTTTATGATAAATTAATAATGATAAAGCGCGCACGCACACTGTGTGTGTGTGTGTGTGTGTAGGTAAAAGATTGACTGTGCAAGAGAGCAGCGCGTTTGTGTATGACTGAAGAATGCAAATGAATGTGGGGATGCCCTAAAGGGCATTTTCGTCTACATACCTTCCAATGCCACGCGGGTTCCTTGGTCAACTTTATAGATTAATCATACAACATATGTATTGACCAAGAGATTGAAAATCAAACATATACAAATGTCCTTCTCATTTCATAATTCAATTGCCTTCTCACAATGTTTTACTCAATCTTCATCAATGTATTTGGTCAAAGTTGAAATCGCAAATGTTCATTTTAACAAATTAAAAAAAGACGACCAAACAAATTCACAACAAAAGAAGAGGGAAAAAATTGAAAGAAAGCCTATAGGGTATCCCTATTTGACCAAAAGAAAAAGAGTAGTTGTAGTTAGGGAAGTGGAGAAAAAATCAATATAACCGGCAAAGATACCCTTGCCACAAAATTTTCAAAAGGGATGTATTAACAATTCTAAAAGGAACAATAATTTTTCAAAAAAAAAATCCACCAAGAAAAAAGAAATTGATGTGTTAGATCCACAATTTAATACAGCTACAGGGTGACTTAGATGAATAAATTTAAATAGGATCATGAAGTGAAGGAGTGTGACAACAAGGGGGGGGTGTGTGTGAAAGAGTGTATTGCCGGGCAAATCTTCTTTGGCAGTGAGGTTGTAAGGCACTGAAGCCAAGCAACCATCTGCCAAGGAAGTAATTGCCCTGTAATTCACTCTCCCATTAATGCCTCCTTTGTTTCCTTGATGAACATTGTCAGGGCGACCATGTATATATATATATATATCTGTGTGTGTGGCTACTTACACGCTACTGGCCAATGGATATTCTCAGCACATCCTCTCTGCTGTCCAAGTTACTAGAAAGTATTAAAGTGGTCCTTATTATCTTTGTGCCTTCAATCTCACTGCCCTTCCACTTTTGACTTAGCATATCTTGTTTCTTCTCGGAGTTTATGCTGTTTCACATGAAAAGTCACTATTGTTAAGAGTTTTCTGTGTCCTTTCTTTATGTCAAAACTCAAAAATCTTGCGGATTTTTGTTTGCTACGGTACATGCGCTTTCCTTCTTGTTTAACTACAGTACACAAGGTTCAAGTTCGAAAGAATACGCTGATACGCTTGATCAATATTCCATATCTCATAATTAGTGCTGCATTCCAAAATTTTCTGCAATTTCGATGGACACCAAATCTCCTTCCTTTATTCATCTGGTTTCTCCCTCATTTCTTTCTGTCTCTCCCTCCTCTCTAGTCTCTCCATTCTCCCTCTTCTTCTTTTTTCCCTTCCCCGTACTGCATCATGAGGGCTTTGGCCTTGAGTTGACTTTGTCAGCAACAGTGAACAAAAATGTGACATGCCTCTAGTCACATGCAGCTATTCGTTTTCCTCAGCTAAAAAAGTTGGTGTCTGATTGACTCTTTCCATTCAAAAGCAACAGTTCCATAAATTCTGGTTTTATGTTACATGCTTTTATGACTAGTGTCGGCATAAACTGATAGCATCTGAACCAAATGCAAAGAGTGACACAGACAAATCATTGGATTTTCATAAAGAAGTGATAGAGAGAGATAAAGAGAATGGGGACCAGAAAACCATATGAACAAGAAAGAAACTTGCCAGAGGAACTCTACCAGCATATGCTGCTCCTTCGCTTTTTCAATGGCATATCCAATTGAAGGTGCGCATCGCTTCCCATATATAGAGCCTCCAATGCATCATCATGTCTCAAGACAGAGATTTGCTGTTGAGGAATGACAGTGCAATTCTCCTTTGGCAGAGAGAACATGCACATCATCAGTTAGCTCTTCTTGTTTGCCAAAGGAGAATTGCCCTGCCATTTTTTACAGCTTACGTTCGATTTATCATACCTGCTATGCCTGTCTGGCTCCCCTTTTCTGCCTACACAAATGTTTCAGATTAGATGCATGTAGTTCCTTGCTAGTTCTCCGTCAAAGATAATCTTTTTCTATTTTATTGGAGCTGTTGAAGATGCGTATTTCTGCTGAAACTGAATTCTTCTTTCGTTGCGTGTGGCAGGAGGAGAAACTGAGGAACAATGGAGGGAATATGATCAGCTATGGTCTTGGAATGTCTATAACCGTCTCAGAAACGCAGCGAAAAGAAGAGGCTGTGTT